CATGTATTAATAATGTGGCCGTTAGTAATACTTCCCGCCATATTAACTTTCGTTAAGTTACCCCTCCAAACAGTTTTACTGCTTGGAGGTTGAACTTAATTTCGTAAAAAGGAGATCGGTCACTTCTTTTCTGGAGATCAACAGAGGACGACTATCAGCCATCACCCGACGTCATAAGCGATTGAGGTAAAGTTAATTTCCTAATCCAATTTTTGTGTACATAGCAAAATATATATATACATACTTTGTAATAAACGAATTACATTTTATACGGAAGACTAATTCCCGTCTTTATTTATTTTCACCATATTTCTAACACGACATCGGTGCAACAAACTGCGAACCATTGAGCTATCAAATACGCAGTCGTTGCAGCGTTGCACATGGTCCATCTCCGCCGGGAGCAAAATAATCAGACAAACTATTTGAATACAGTCCACTACAGCTCTATCAATTAGAAAGCACCTGTCCAACCGGAACACTTGCCCACAACCGACGCACTTGTCCGCAACCGGAGCACTTGCCCACAACCGACGCACTTGTCCGCAACCGGAGCACTTGAACACAGCCGACGCACTTGCCCACAACGTAAGCACTTGGCCATAGTCGGAGCACAAAAGCACATTTGCCGCAATCATCCATTACACAAGAGCGCACCTTATACAATTAACCGGTCGCATAAATACAAGGAGGTAACAAGGTACGTGGTTGACATTTTTCATTGCACAAACACATATATTTAGTGAAAAAAACGCTCCGAAAAAATTAAGATTATTTCGCATAAAGAACATAATAGCTGCGAGTGATTTTGTGGAACAACGTTCACTAGTGTTGCATTTATAGTCCGAATCGCGATTCAACAGTCCATGAATATAGTGCATATAACCCAAACACAAGTGCGCGCTGCGGCCATTTTGAGAAAACCCACGAAAGTTTTGGTTAGTGTAAATGACAACGGCACACATTTTAGTTAAATTTTCTTAGTCCGTGTGCCATATCTAAAGAGCACAGATTGAATTAATTCGCACATTTGATCACTTTCACAATTTCCATAGCCTTCTGGTGGCACGTAAGTTTAATTTCTGCAACCACTTACACTAACAACACTTCACGTAGCGCGGGAGGAGATCTAAGCTCACTCGGAATTGCACTTTGGTTTAACACTTTTGATTTATCATCTTTTGCAATCACTTTTGGTAAGCACATTATAGTCACTTTAACGCTGATATACTACTTCCACAAAATCACCAGCCGCTCATTCAAATATCATTGCACATCGGAGTTACACAGTACGTTCACTTATACATATATTCAAATTGAACATTGGTGCAAGTTGGGCGGCGAGTTAATTACCTGTAAATATAGGAATTGATGTGCATATACTTACATCCTTTTTAACAAAAAAATAAAGGAGTTAAACAATTGAACTTAAATTCTTGTGGTGGTTTTTGCTTTGCTTGGAACTTTCGAAAAGATAGTTAGGGGTTCATTTCGTCTTGGGTTCTCTTTAAATAAAGTAAACAAACATGGATACATATATTCGGTTGGCGGACGCAGTAACTGAGTTTGAATCAGATTACAATAGCGTGCCCCAGACAGAGCATACAAAATATACTCTTGCGATCCAGCAAGAAGAACTTAAAGCAATGTGGCGAAAGGTTAAAATAGCATATGAGGAATATTTAATTTCAGATAAGGCAGAAGCCAAAGATATTTCTTCAGTGAAGAAAAAATACAAGAGCTCGTACTCAGTCTATTTGCGCTGCATGTCGAACATGGCAGATCTCCACGCAAAATTAGTTAAAAGTGAAAAGGATGTAGAAGATCAGTCCGACCGCGAACACAGTATCCACTTACCCCCGTGCGATACAGATGTATTCAAGGGCGACTATCTTTCCTGGCCAACATTTCGAGACATGTTCACGGCCATCTACATCCTGAATAAGCGCCTCACTCCTGTCGAGAAACTATGCCACCTGATCCAAAAAACAGAGGGAGAGGCGAAAGATATTGTTAAAAAATGCCCACTCACCAATGAAGGATTTTCTACAGCTTGGAAACATTTAACGGATAGGTACGAGAATAAACGCATACTCGTCAATACACAATTAAAGACTCTTTTTAATTTAAATACGGTTGATAGTGAGTGCGGCGGCTCGATTAAAAATTTGCAGAGAGAAATTAATAATTGCATCTCATCACTAAAAATTCATCAAATTGATATATCAAACTGGGATGCAATTATTACTTACATCTGCTCAACCAAACTACCGGAAAGTACCTTAGCATTGTGGGAACAAACAGTAGAGAACAAAACGGAAATATCCAAGTGGGAGGATATGGATAAGTTTCTCTCAAATAGGTTCCAGACACTAGAAACCGTGTCAGGTATAAAGGGCACTACTCATTCCAGATTTTCAAAACCACAGAATGCTAAACATACCACTGAAGCCCCACAAAAAAGACTTGGAGCTTTCCAGGCAAGTGTATCCAAAGTTACATGCCAATTGTGCCAATCTAACGAGCACAGATTAAAAGACTGCCAGAAGTTCCGTAAGCTTTCAACATCCGACAGGATCACACTCGTGAAGAACAATAATAGTTGCGTTAACTGCCTATCTTCAAGACATACTGTGTCGAGGTGCACTAGCTCTTACAATTGCAGCACTTGCCACCAAAGACACAACACGCTCTTACATATCGAGGCAGCCGCACCGAAATCAACTGTTCAAACGAACCAATCGGATCCAAAGGATAATGTTGCGTCCACTTCTGCACAGGCCCAATTGAGGCTCGATTCTGCAAGAGCAAATAAAAATTCGGTTAGCAATGTTAAATCTTGTTTCGCTAATACAAATAAAGGGATCTTATTGGGGACCGCGCGGGTCAATATATTTTTTAATAACACTACTTTTTCAGCACGCGCATTAATAGATTCCGGTTCGGAATGTTCGTTTATAACCGAAAGGCTTAAGCGTAGGATTAACCTGCCGTCCAAAAGGATGCAGGCCCAGGTATCAGGCATCAATAATACCGTGTCGGCGCAGGTGAAAGAAGCGTGTGCAATTCAATTGCGATCACCCATTGACCCTTTAATTAATATAGATACCACAGTGTTGGTTTTACCACAGCTGACCGGTAATCTACCGACCTGTCAGATAGATGCTATGACGAAACAAGCATTTCCCGACCTCATTTTAGCGGATAAGAGATTTTTCATTAATGAACAAGTTGATCTTGTCCTAGGTGGCGACGTTTATGCCCAAATAATGTTGAGCGGTATTAGGAAGAACGTTTTAGGTACTCTTCTTGCTCAGGAAACAGTATTCGGATGGATACTAACCGGTCAGACGGATGCAATTTCAATCACTAATAAACGTGTATCGTTTTTTAACGAGGTGACCTTAGACAAACGTCTAGCTTCGTTTTGGGAGTTAGAAGACTTTTCAAAGCACAAAACCTACAATAAAGAGGAAGTTTACTGCGAGGACCTTTATAAACGCACAACTAAACGGAACCAGGATGGCAAATATACAGTATCGTTGCCATTCAAACAGGATTTTCCAAGGTGTATACGCTTAGGACCTTCACTCAAGATAGCTTGCTCACAATTTTTTCGTAATGAAATCCGTCTATCAAAAGACCCTCCCCTACAAACTGAATACAGTAGGGTATTGTCCGAGTATGAAACGTTAGGACACATGACGCTAATTTCTGACCGTATTCCGGGTGATGAATGCGAAAATTACTTCCTGCCACATCATGCCGTTCGAAAGGAAGAGAGCACCACCACCAAAGTACGGGTGGTCTTCAACGCGTCATGTCCTACGGCTAATGGGGTGAGTCTTAATGATGTGATCCATCCTGGACCAGTCCTCCAGAATGACTTGACAATTCTAATATTACGGTGGAGATTTTTTCTATATGTTTTTAATAGCGACATCGAAAAGATGTATCGCCAAATATTACTAAATCCTGACGATACCAAGTATCAGCGAATAATTTTCCGAACAAGGCCAACCGAACCAATTAGGCTTTATGAGCTTAAAACTGTGACTTTCGGTGTCAACTGCGCACCCTACCTCGCGATTAGAACCCTGCTCCAATTAGCTGACGATGTACAAAACTCGCACCCTATTGCGTCGGACATCCTAAGAAAGTATATGTATGTTGACGATGTTTTAGCTGGCGGTCACACCATCGAAGCTGCCATCAAAGCGAAGGACGACATCACAGGAGTACTGCAGTCTGCTGGTTTTCCTTTAAGGAAATGGACTTCTAATTGCACTGAAATTTTACATGGTACACCGAAATCCCATCTGCTTAAAGAAGACTTCTTAGACTTCGAAGACACCAGCACAGTCAAAGCTCTGGGAATCAGATGGAACGCCCATTCCGATAATTTTTACTTTACAGCCAAACCAATTGAAAACCAGACTAGCTATACAAAAAGGGCAATTCTATCGGCCATTGCCAAATTATTTGATCCCCTAGGGTGGCTTGCACCATTTGTAATTACCGCGAAAATTTTAATGCAAAATATTTGGTTAGAAGGAACAGGGTGGGATGAAACTGTATCGTCAACCACGTTGGACCGCTGGAAAAACTTTAAGGAAAGCTACAGTTACATCGAAAAGATTCGTATCCCCCGTTGGGTACACTTTTCACCGACAACCAAAGTCGAAGTTCACGGGTTTTGCGACGCCTCAGAAAAGGCATATGCGGCCTGCATTTATCTTCGCGTCGAAATGGACGAAAAGGTCGCCATCAGTCTACTACTAGCTAAAACTAAAGTGGCACCAGTTAAAACGATTTCCTTACCACGATTAGAACTTTGTGGGGCGGTCTTGCTAGCCGAAATACTGGAGTCGATTACCAATAATCTTAACTTAGCCAACCGTACAACTAAGATGTGGACGGATTCGACCATTGTCCTGGCTTGGCTACGGAAACCACCGTGCTCATGGTCAACCTTTGTTGCCCATCGAGTAACAAAAATAATAGAAAAGGTCGGAAAAGAAAATTGGTGTCATGTAGATTCAAGATCAAATCCGTCAGACTTAGCCAGTAGAGGACTTCCGGCGCAAGAATTAGTAAACAACTCCCTGTGGTGGGAGGGCCCTTCTTGGCTGCAAGAAGATCACTCCAAATGGCCCACTGAAGAAAAGGACTATAATACAGTTATAGAAGAGAAAAGGGTGCAGGTACACGCAACAACAAGGTCAGATATCGACTTTGATATTATTGAAAGATTTTCTGATTTCTCGAGAGCTTTGAGAGTTTTATCTTATGTACTGAGATTCTCTCAAAGAACTCACCCAAAAACTAGAGCGTCATTTCAGGCGAAATCTTGTTCAATTTCAGCTGATGAAATTAAAGCAACGACTCACCGCTTGATAATCATCTGCCAGAAGAAGCATTATTGGGAAGAATATTCAGCACCTAAATCCGAAACATCAATAGGTCAAAAGAGTGAAGTACTAACCCTTAACCCATTCATCGATAAGGACGGTATAATGAGGACAGGTGGTCGCCTAGGAGCATCTCGTGATCTCGCCTATAACGAGCGTCACCCAGTTATCCTGCCATACAACAGCCACTTGTCCCGTCTGATAGTTCAGTTCGTTCACAAAGTCTCACTGCATGGTGAGAATCAGCTCATGTTGCGCCTGATTCGAACACAGTATTGGATACCTAGGGTCAAAAACATGATACGGTCCACCATTCATAATTGCAAGGTCTGCACAATTTATAGAAGATGCGTGCAAACACAGCTAATGGGAATTCTTCCCAAGGAACGCACTACATTCTCACGAGCATTTACAAACTCGGGAGTCGACTTTGCAGGACCTTTCGACATAAAGAGTTACAGCGGACGAGGATTCCGGATGTCCAAAGGATATGTGTGCCTGTTTGTGTGCTTTGCGACTAAGGCGATCCATTTGGAAGCCACCTCAGACCTAAGTACTCAATCCTTCTTAGCAGCATTTGCTAGGTTCATAGCAAGAAGGGGCTGTCCAAGAAATGTCTACTCCGACAATGGCACTAACTTTGTCGGAGCCTCTAGAACTCAGAAATCAGAGTTTAAAGTCTTTATGGCCAATGCCCGCGGTGACACCTTAGCCAAATATGCCCATCAAATGGTTTCATGGCACTTTATCCCCGCTTCAGCTCCCCACATGGGCGGACTGTGGGAAGCGGGAGTTAAAAGCTTCAAAAGCCACTTCACTAAAATTGCCTCCAACCATAAATACACATTTGAAGAATTTACAACCCTATTATGCAGAGTGGAATCATGTCTCAATTCTAGACCCCTGAGCCCCTCTTCAAATCAACCAGCAGACCTGGAGCCACTGACTCCAGGTCACTTCCTAGTCGGTGGACACATACTAGCTCCACCAGAAATAGACGCCGATGAAAATCGTGCATCGATCGTAAATCGATGGCAAAGATTAAAGGCTCTTCACCACATGTTTTGCAAAAGATGGAAATCTGAGTACCTATCAGAGCTCCAGAAACGCAACAAATGGAAATATCCACAAACTAATATGAGAGCTGGAGACCTTGTCATAATTAAAGAAGACAATCTACCACCAAATGAATGGAGGCTTGGGAGAGTGATCAACCTACACCCAGGTCCGGACAACAGGGTACGAGTGGTGGATATCAAAACCGACAGAGGCCAGATCACAAGACCTTTGGTAAAATTAGTCCTACTTCCGCCCTACAGTGAACAAGACGAGGAGTCAACTACCTCGTCTTAAACCAATCTTCTTTTTTTCAGCACTGACCAAGGTCCACAATATAATATATATATTTGAAATGCAAAATAGTTATATATATATTTGAAATGCAATTTATAAAAATCATACATCCTTAAAGTACCCGCTTAAGGTTTGTATCAAAATGTGTGTTATTTCAACTTAAAAAGTATATTGGAATTCTGCGCAAGAATTTTTATTTAGCCTTATTTAGAAAAAATTGTTAGCCAATTTGAAAAATCTCTAACATGTTGTATGCCATGCATATACCATTGACACATTGTTTGTAAAGACTTTGGCGATCTGCGTACTCAAAAATTAATATGGAGTAAGTCAATCGAGATCCATGCAATACATATGCATTAATATCTATTCAGAAATTACTAGAAACAAAACAAAAACTGGCGTAAGTTATACGCAAATTTTCTCAAACAACGACCAGTGTATTGCTTTTGAACTAAGGAATATTAACATATATAAGGAATATTAACATATCTTGCCGAGTTTTTATTTTAAGCTATATTTTTAATCTAAAGCTTGGTTAATAAATAAGAAATAAATAGACTCAAAAGAAGAATAGAATCGAGGTCCATTATTGTTAAATATATTTATGTATGCATGTATATATTTACATATTTAAAAATTTATTGTTTCTTTTAAAAAAAAAAAAAAAATCGGATACAGTTTTTCTTTCGCCATTCATACACCTCTAATTTTAGTATTTATTAAAAAAAAAAAAAAAAAACTCAATGAAATTCAAAAACTCTATCTTGCATTTAGTTTTACTCAATACCAATTTGAGCTGTCGCTGTGTATTAGGTTTATATTATCTATCATTGCAAAGAATCTAGTTAAATTTATGTCTAATTCGCACTTATTGTTGAAGTGTCAAGACCTAATCACACACTTAAGTTGCAGTAACATAATGCTCTATTCATAAATATGTTTGTAAATGCACCCATACATACATACATACATGCATATGTACCCTACAAGACAGCTGAGTATCATATGAGTACTCATATTATCATTACTCCTAATCACAAAAGTGCTTATCAAAGTCCTCATTTTCGTTCAGGCCATGGGAAAAATTTGAGTACTTTCCCCTCAATGTTGTCATCAGAAAGTCCTCAGTACTAATAGTCAAACTACTCATTTATGCCGTACTACAAAAACAAAAGTGTAAATGTGTGAGAGTTTTTGCCTAAAGTGCTCAGCAATGTCTTGTAGGGTATATAAAACAATACATTTAATATGTAATTGAAATTTTCACATCAATTTGCGCTATCTTCAAACCCATGGTTTCAATTGTACGGATATCGTCAGGGTTTTCCCCACAACTTGGTTTTGCTGCAGTGAAGCGACAGAACAAGTGACGAGAAAAGATATATGCGGACACTTATATGTATATGTATCTGTGCGCATACGTATCTATGCGCATGGTATGTATCTATGCACATGCGTAGCTATGTATGCACATACGTATCTATGCACATACATGCATGTGTGCTTAGGTATGTATATTAGCATTTTAGTTGAAAGTACGTTTTGCTCGTCGCTCTCTTCATCGCTCCACTGCAATCCTGTCCTTAATTTTATTCAGATACCACAAATGCACGATCCATAAAATTCTTCTATCATTCTTGCCAAAAATGTATGTTTTCTTCGAAAATACTGAAGTACTACCAGTAGAGTACTCTACTGTCAAATACCTTTTACTCGCAGTAGTTGCGGAAGGCAAAGTAAATACTCTACGCGTCTTGCTATTGATCGGTAGTTTACGTACGCTTGCAGAAACTGGTTTATGCTTACTCACACTTGACCCGAACGATGAGAGTAAAGGAGGGAAAGTATTTGCGCGGCGATCGGATGTCTTGTTAGGCCCTTTAAATGGAATCGCGCAGGAGTTTAATATATATCCATATACTACGTATAATTATATGCATAGGCATGCCTTTATAGCATACTCAAACTCACTCACCCCATCACTTATTCGTTGCCGCCCTCTTCGTTGTTGTTGCTGTTGAAGTATTTCCTGCTGTTGTTCTTGTACCTACAGCTGCAGCAGCAGTTATTGATGTGTTCGCAAGCAAACTATAAGCTCCGCCAACTGCAGACTGTGTAACTTGTCCCGACGAAGGGGATGTGCCAGAGTTGGTCGTACTGGTAAAATGCGCAGGTGTAAATGGTGGTGGAACTGTATTCGGTGGAATACTTAGTTGAAATCCATTGTGGTATATAAGATAGTAGGTGGCTTGGGTGGGAGTGCTAGATGGTGAAGTCACAACGGTTGAACCAGTGTCCGCTGCGGTTGCTGAAAAATTAGTGTTGGACGTTGATGCTACGATCACCTTGGAAGCGTTCTGCAAATTGCTTCCAGCAACAGACCCGCTGTTATTTGTTGAATTCGTCTGCCACATACCGCCCGAAGTGCACAACAAAAATTTTAATAATTAATTTGCAAGGAATTCGTACAATAAAGCGGTGGAAAGATTGCGGGAGGCATCGATCTGGTGTTTTACGCTGGCAGCAATAGCAAAGCACTTCCATATCTACTAGCTAAGCAGACACTGCATAAGGGATGATCAATCGCCAAAGCCTGCGCGAAATGTAAATTCATGTTGAAACCACGAAAACCGCAGAATCTGTGAATAAAACAAACAGAAGATAATATTGTAGGATGAAAAAAAAAAATTAAAATTTTAATTACATACATACATACAGAACCACTTACACTTCGGGCATCTTCTCTTTATCCGTTTACAGGGCATTAATCCGTGCTGTGTGCTCAAGGCAAAGGGTTGCAAATCGATGCAGGCAAGCGTCTGAAACCTAAACAAAGTATATTAAATCAAACTATATACTACAAATTACTATTCTAACAAATTCCACTATACGAACCGTTTCTCCTCGTGATAGGTTATTTCTTGAATGACATTTCAGCCATTCAGGATATTGCCATTCATGAATTAGCAATGGCGCCATCTGTTGTATTCGAGACCAAATGCTTACGTTAAGCTTGCGTCATTGGGGATTTTTACTCAATCCGTCGAACTACGACAAGATGAAGCATAAGGAAAAAAGTAATTTTCTGGCTGACGTTGGTAATTTCGACGCCATGTTATTTTCTTTTAAAAGTAAACAAAGAATATGAAGACGAGGCATAATTTTCTTAATTGCTATCACAAAGTATGGCTTTTATGCAAATTATAAATACTGCTCTACTCGACGGTCATCAACGCACAAATGGTTGCTTCTCGACCGGTCTGTTCTAATTGGTTCATGCCTCGCAATCTCTAGAAAAATTGTACTTTAATAAATTATCTTACCATTGTGTTAGATGATTTTTGATTGGAATACCAGTTTAAAAAATGATTGCGATGCGCAAAAATACGGTAATCGACATCAGGAATATTATGATACTCCGTATCACGTTTATCGATTATTACCACCGTTCTTGTTTGATACCGCGAAAACACGTTGTAAAAATGAAACAAACTATTACTCATGTCCTGCTTTACATAAGGTGTTCAATGCGAATCAGAACAATCATTTTGCGTGAACCTTTTACGTAGCAACCACCTCAACGTTAGCGAGCGAATTTTTTTGGGGTGGCAGGACCGTCTTACGATATTAACGTATCACGAATGGGAGCAAACAAGCAAAATCGATAACACCTGTCCACAATGTATCGCTTCAATATTTGAGGTGCCCATACACTTTTTATACGCTTGTACGATATTATATGCAGTTCACACTATCAATTTACAGTGTGGAATCAACATTTATTTTCAAAGTATAAACTATATTTTGTTTTCGGTTTTAAACTCATTTAATGCTCGCCACCCAACTGTAACCTACACACATAAGGGCACAATATTTAGTACATAAGTACACAGTACTAGTATCGGATAACAGCAAGGGGAAAAAACATTAACCAATTTCAGACAATGACTAAATTCACTTCAATGAGGAAAAGGGCGGAGCAGCAATCACAGTGTTATCCACTCGCATGCCGTCTATGTGATGGAAATCACCCGATCAGGCTCTGTCCAATATACAGAGTAAAATCTCCCGAAGAAAGATTGCGGGAGGCATTGTTGGGACGTTTTTGCGGCAACTGCTTGTCTATGACACACCGCGTCGATACGTGCACGAGCGAAGAGAGATGCCGTCGGTGCCATGACAAGCATCATACAACTCTACACCTGGATGAGGAGCACCAAGCAGTCGACACAAGACCATGGAGCGTGCAAGTCGCAAGTGAGGATGAATCGGAGCACATTCTATCGGTCAATGCTTCAGACTCAGGAACAGAGACCAGGGCTCTCCCACCGGACGCCGAGGAAGGCGAAGTCATTGAAACTGCAGTAGCAACCCGCACTCTTCGCTCGACTTCACGAAGGGGATCGGAAACTAGGCCCTCCCGACCGCTCTTAGCACATGAACGGCGCCGTGGATCGGAAACTCGGCCTTTCCGACCACGCCAGCCTTCACGCCGTCGCCGTGGAGCGGAAACTAGGCCTTTCCGCCCGCGGGCCAGACAATTGGATTCGGCAAATCGACGCCGCCATCAAGGTAGACTGGAGACGAGGCCTCGCCAGCTGCCTGTTGCATTCAGAGCGGGTCGGGTCCAGCCTTCAACTCACGTATTAAGGCCCGTTACATCAATATGCCCTACTGCCGTGGTCAAGGTCGAATCGCAAGGACGGCTCCATTTGATACGCGCCTTGATTGATGCGTGCTCACCGACCTCGATAATCTCAGCCGATTTAGTACGCGAACTGCGCCTTGATTTTGGTCCGCAACAGGGTTGCCTACTGCGTTTGCGCGGCAAACATGGCCAAAATAAAAGGGTAGCAGTCCATGCAAGAGTGGTGCGAAATTATATTCGGATCAGCCCCACCAGTAGCGTCGATCCCTCGATAGCGGCACCGTACACGCACATTCGACTAGCGGACCCGAACTTCCACACCTCAACGCCGATTCGCTTGGTCTTGGGAGCCGATGTGTATCCCGAGATTATCCTGCCAGGGATACTCCCAAGCGCTTTTGGGCCATTCCTGGCCCAAAGCAGCATATTTGGGTGGATCCTATCGGGATCGTGTCGATCCTAAATAACGGATAAATCTTTTTTTTCGTTTTTGATTTTTTATTTAGATAAATATATATACACTTTCTTGAAATGAATATGAATTGTTTAATAAATGAAGTGCAATGAAATGTCAAACCATGCCTTGTTCTCTTAACCTTATTTTTCGTATCATTTCTACAGCTGTAGGAGGCGAAGATGGAAGCACGGGTGACAACGAGGAAGTCCGACTGATCGGATGACAACCAGCTGACATTTTTACTACTTACCTTCGAATTTGTAATTAGCTACTCAACGCGGTGTGATGGCTGAGTCGTAATAGATGTTGCTTATAGCAAGGGGGCCGGTATGTTTAGGCCTCCACCCTAAACTCAAAGTAATGCAATGGGTGTGTACCACCCTAATGTTCATTTATGCACATGCATGTATACATTTGCAGTATTAATAACCAACAATGTTGGCCGTTAGCATCATTTATACACACATGCAAGTATACATTTTCATGTATTAATAATGTGGCCGTTAGTAATACTTCCCGCCATATTAACTTTCGTTAAGTTACCCCTCCAAACAGTTTTACTGCTTGGAGGTTGAACTTAATTTCGTAAAAAGGAGATCGGTCACTTCTTTTCTGGAGATCAACAGA